AGGCATTCGCTGTACAAGTTGAACAGAATTGGTGATAAACAGCATCCTTGTCGAACTCCTCTTCCAATCTGCACACTTCCTCTCTCCCCTCTGTCCAGTCGTACTCTAACTTTCTGATCCATGTACAATTTGCTAATCAATTTTTCACGCCAATCGATACCTGTTTCTTTTAGGATCTGCATTAATTTGGTCCAGTTTACATGGTCAAATGCCTTCTGCCAGTCTATGAAGCAAACACACAGGATAAGATATAGTGTATTACACTATTTTTTTTACACAATAAGATATAGTGTAAAAAAAAGACGGTTGAATAGTAAACGAAGTTGCATATAGACGGCATTAAAGCAAAAGGCATAGTCACTTGTTCTTGTAAATTTGCAGAAATCTGGGATTTAACGTCATTAAATCAAAGGCGTAGTCACATATACCTGTACATTTGCTAAAATCTTGGTTTGCCTTCATACTTAAAAATTCTTATCCTGTGATTATTAGTCTGGTTTTTATTAATTGATATTAATTAATAATATAACTGCCCCTCTCTCTACAATTTAGTTGCTACTGAAAAGCGTTGCTTCTTTAAGAAGAAGACTGCACGTGTAATTTGGAACTGGGGGAAAAAATACATAGCGTATATTTGTACTGAAACCTTTAGGAACGTAACCTCGTAGAACACAAAGAGAGAAATGCGAAAGTAAAAAGAGACTGGATATTAGCGGAACAAATTTTTGGATGGGTCTTAAATTGAAGCGAATATCTAATGTGCCTAAGTGTTTTGAAATTTCGGTTGTAACAGACAACAAAAAGAGTTTGTGCTATTAATTTATAATTGGTCACACAACACTTACAGCCTGATTCCTCAAAGCAGGAAATGTCCAGTCAACTCGTGTCAGAATTACTTTTGGGACTCGAGTTGCTAAGAAATGCAACGTCCTTCGCAATCTCTCAAGGCGTACTTCTTCACTTGCCATTCTTCTCTTGTTATTCTTCTGCTTCTGTTGTTCTGTGGCGAGCACACATAAAGTTTAGACACTGACACACCAAATACATCACTCTGATGTCAGAAAATGAATTATTAAAATTTGATATGAAATTCCAATACATTAATGGAAAATTTTGCACCCCTGTCATTGTCAATTCCCGTGCTTTTAAATTAATTACAAATTATGCAATTGCAATGCGTATTTATATATGAATACATTTTTCAACAGGTTCTTTTGCGTTGCACTGAAACTCAGTTAGTAAAAATTAACTGCTTTTCATAGGCCAATTTCCCAGCCTTATCACAAGATATATGAGAAAATAGCCGTTGAGGACTTAAATGTTGAAAAGAAGCTATTTCCCGAAGACAAATTTGAACTTAAGTTCAACCGGAATAGCTCTGTGTCTATAGAGAAAACTGCGGGCTGGTTACCCTGGGTGCTATCCCCGACAGGAGCATATATTATCTCCATTCCACAGCTTCCAGACCGGGCCTGAGACCCACAGAGACCCTCGTCTACTTGGAAGAGGGGGATATTTACATGGGGGTAAATAGGCCAGGTCTTGGAGCTAATCACTCGTCTCCATTTAGTGCAGATTTGAAGAACGGTGGAGATATACCTCCATTCCCACATGTACATTCATGGTTTACTGCTTGATTAATTAAACACAGAGACAGCTTTACCTTTCTTCTACTGTATAATTGTATATACGAATAAAAATTCGAAACATCAACAAAATTAAAAATCTACGTTACATGCAACTTTCATCGGTCACCCACACATCCCAATGAACCATTAGAGTGCAGAACAAATACTGCAATTCTGGGGACATATTTTCTATATATTTTGTTAATTTTCATTGGATTTCTTTCAATTTACATAATCCTTTCAGCCGCAATATGGCCCTGATAGAGGCTGAGTCGACCGCAGGGCCATAGTGCGCTTGGAAGGATTCCATCGCTAACTACGTTGAGAAGTATTTACATAATTTTTGTATATAATACATTTTCATATTCTACTTATTTTATTAACATCTCACGGGGTGTTCATTTCGGAACTGCTGCCGTACATATCGTTTAGAAACCACGGATTTGAATTAGCAGCAGAAGATTTTCTATTGTTCTGAACATAGTCACGTAAAAATACGGGATGGGCAGTACATTATTTCACCTGAAATATTTCTGAATCATTCACTCATTACAGCAACACTGTACTGATATTGAGGGCTACTACTTCGAGCGACTATTATAATATACTGGAGCATATAGACCCGTTACTGAATAACGCCTTCGCAAACAATCAGTTTCCCACGGTAAAGAGTCCGCGCGTATCAATAGACAAACTGTTGTAAACGGTGTTTTCTATGCTGTTCGTCCTGAAATATTATAAGGATAATAACTGGAGCTAGAGTTCACAGAGTTGGCGGAGCGAGTGGGGAGTTAAATTAGTCAGTCAGAAGATATAGACCGGCGTACAGTGAGAGTTGGATTAGAGAGTGAAAGACTGAGTTGAGTCAGTGAGAGTAATTTCGTTGATTCCTTAGTTCAAGTGTTTGTCCACTGCTTTGTCTGTGAGACTGTGGGTCGAGATTATTGGCACTTAGGTGTGTGCTCACATCGATTATAGCTGAACAGTGAAGAGTGGAATCTGCGGCATCGGATTACTATTTATGTTCATTGTTGATAGTGGTTCTTCAAAAACTGAAGTGAGTGAACACTAGACAAAAACAGTGGAGCAAAATATGGCCGCCATTCCAGTGCCGGGATACCGGGCACATTGAACCACGAAGCGTCAGACACTAGAATCACAGCTGGCAGATGAGTTTCCCGACGCAGATGCGCTGCTGAAACAGCTCCTCCAAATACTCCGCGACATCGAGGACGTGGCAGGGAGCACTCCAGCTTCGATAGGTGACAGTGAAAAGTGGTCATCCATCGTCAGCGAGGCGGACGAAAATGGCCAGAACTACTGCCAGGTTCTAACACGGAAGACCCTGTTTAGTGCCATGTATGGCACATACACAGTCGCCTTACTGAAGTTAAGGGCCGTGCAGAAGGCGAGCAGTCAAACTGCTCAGTCTGAGGAAACCGAATCCCCTTCAAACCAGGAGGACGGCTTCAAAGCAGTCCGGCGGCACGGTACCAATGAGGCCGCCCGACCTCGAAGAAAAAAGTGATAGCCGCTGAAATTACACCCCCTAAAGAGGTTGCCACCCGCAACTTCTTCGCCCCCCTGAAAATATCAATGGAAACTGACAGCACTAGTGCAGAGGCCGCCACACCCGAGGAGAAAGTCTCTGGCAAAGGAGGTAGGCCGCCTCCAATAATATCGACATCAACCACGAATCTCATACAGTTGCAGAAGAAGCTGAAAAGTGTAGTCAAGGACGACTTCGAGTTCCGTAGCACAAGAAACGGAACCAGAGTCGTTACGAAAGGCATGGCGGATTTCGAAGCCATCAAGTCACATTTCACCAACAATAACCTAGCCTATTATTCCTTCTTCCCCAAATCCCAGAAGCCTGTTAAGGCAGTAATCCGACACCTCCCCATCAATACCCCTGCAGAGGACATTTCAGAAGGTCTGGAAAACCTGGGCTTCGATGTTGTTAGCGTCAAGCAAATGACGACAACCCGTCGATCCCAATCTGAAGAAGCAATAACCAGGAACCTTCCCTTGTTCCTGATAACCTTGCCGAGGACGGCAAAATCACAGGAAATATTCAATCTGCCAAGCCTTTGCCACATATCAATCAAGGTGGAGACGTATAGAGCTCAGACTGGACTTACGCAATGTCATAACTGTCAACAGTTTGGCCACGTCTGGGCCAATTGTAAACAAACTCCACGCTGTTTGTGGTGCGGAGGCGGCCACCTGCATAAGGAATGCCCAGAGAAAGGAAACCCAGCTTCCACCCCAACATGCTGCAACTGCCGGTTGGCAGAGGGTGACAAGCCACATCCAGCCAACTATCGGGGTTGCAGACACACCAGGGAAGAGTTGCAAAAAAGGAAGGCGAACAGAACGCCGAAAACTGCTACGGAGAGGGTGTTCTCATCGAACATCGTCACACAAGGCGCGTCCTTCGTGGCGGCACTACGGGGCAACGCAGAACATCAACCACCACAGGCAAACCCCGCTCCAATGGCTTGCCCTACAGTAACAAAACAACAAAATTTACCGGCCCCTGCACTGCAGAAAGAAACAGGTCAGTCAGCTCAGGCTCCTCATGCAAATAGTCAATCTCTCGACAATATCTTGAGAGCTGTGACTGCAGTACAGCAGATCATGACAGAGATCAATGGCGCAGTGTCTGAAGAGGACAAAATAATGGCCATTACAAAAAATTGTGTTAAATCTCATGAAACAAAATGGCCACTAGAGTTCATAGGCGACTCAAAATCATAGCATTTAATGCGAACGACATTTGGAGGCAGCGCTATGAGCTCAGTGAACAGCTGCAAGACCTACGCATAGATGTGGCCCTGTTTTCAGAGACACAACTGAAACCTCTTGAGAGTTTCTTTCTTCCAAATTACCACATTTATAGAACCGACCGCCACTCGGGCAGAAAAGGCGAACTGCCGTTTCAGTAAGAAAAGGCATTCCCCACAACCATGTAGACCTACCACCCCTTATTTCAGTAGAAGCGACAGGGGTCTGCATACCAATTGGTAACAGTGAAGTACTGCTTACAGCTGTTTATAAATCCCCAGGCAGGGCCTGGAGTGATGCTGACATCGCAGAGGTCTTAAGCTTTAGACGTAAGTCTATTTTAGCAGGTGATTTGAATGCTAAGCATCCATTTTGGAATAGAAAATTTTCAAAACCCTCAGGCTTGAAACTCGTGGATTTATTTGATATGACTGATTTCGAAATCTCAGCACCACAGTGCCCCACTCATTATTCCCCTGCGGGAAATGGTGACGTGCTGGATATTGTGGTCCACAAAAATATCAGAATGTCAGATGTCATCGTCTCCGATATTTTGGATTCAGATCACATACCAGTAGTATTCCACATACTGGATCATGTTAAAATTAGGAACCTTTTGGAACCTATTGAGAAATTCACAGATTTGGAGCGGTTTCAAAGCCTCGCCTAAAATATAAATTACTCTGGGGTAGAAGCCGATAAAGCTCTATTGCTTCGGCATATAGGTTGTCCATAAGAATAGTTACACTTTCGGACATAAACAACGATCTCCTAGGTCGCCTGTTAAAACATAAGCAGAGGCTACAAAAGTTGTGGCAAGAAACCAGGGATCCAGCGTGTAAGACGGCACTAAATTGGGTCACAAAGTCAATGAGGCGAATGACCCGGAAAAAAGGCACTTGAACGGTGGGAAACAAAAATAGGTAACTCTGATCTCACACCTCAGGGTATATGGCCAATTGCAAAATCGCTCCTAAAGAGGGATGGACCAAGGGCACCAACTGCTATTCATGGTGCTGCAGGCATTAAATTTTACCCATTCGAAAAAGCCAATGCAATTGCTGATTGTTTGGCAAATCAGTTCACGCCGCACAATCTGTGTGACGATACCCATGAACGGCGAGTGGAGGCTAGAGTTCAAGCTCTGCTCGAAACCATAGACGACAAGCCCCCTCAGAGGACCAGACCATGTGACGTACAAAAATTGATAAATTCCTTGAAATTGAGAAAGGCCTGTGGAAGTGACGGCATTCCAAATGAATGCCTGAGGCAACTTCCAAGGCGACCATTGGTTCACCTAACTCATTTATTTAATCATTGTTTTCGGCTCTCTCATTTTCCAAATTCTTCTAAGGAAGCAAAAGTAATAACTTTACCCAAACCCGGTAAAGACCCAAAATTCCCTAAAAATTTACGTCCGATCAGCCTCCTGTCCACGACAGGAAAACTATTCGAAAAAGTAATTTTGAAATTCCTCAGTAAACATATTGAAGAAAGCGGCCTGCTCAACGCAATTCAGTTTGGTTTTCGTGCACGTCACAGCACGGCATTGCAATGTATGAGGCTGGCGGACCACGTGACACTTAATTTCAACAATAAAATGTCTCCGGCTGCAGTGTTCTTGGACATCGAAAAAGCCTTTGATACCACGTGGCACTCAGGCTTGCTGTATAAGTGATCAAAATTGGAATTCTCGAACAGTTTGACCAAACTTATTGGGTCCTTTGTTTCTCAGCGTAAATTCAGGGTTTCGGTCGAAGGCCAAATTTCAACCCCAAGGGAAATGCAAGCAGGGGTGCCACAAGGCTCAGTCCTCTCCCCTACCCTTTTCAATTTGTACATAAATGATGCCCCGCAAACACATGGTGTCCACATGGCACTCTTTGCGGACGACACCTGTCTGTATGCGACAGATCGCAAGGAGGGTTTTATTGTTAGAAAATTCCAGCGCGGTCTCAGCTCAATGGAGACCTGGTGTGGGTGCTGGAATATTAAAATTAATGAAGATAAGACTCGGGGGTCTATTTCTCTCGTAGTCGTCGACCGCCTGAGTCTTGTCTCACTTTAAATGGACAAAATGTTCCATTTGTAAATAGTGCAAAATATCTAGGTGTAATCTTCGATAAGAGAGTTACATGGAGATTGCACATAGAAATGATCGAAGCCAAGGCCTTCAAAACAGTCATTAGGGTATATTCCCTATTCAAAAGTGAGCAATTGAACGCTAACATTAAACTGACCCTCCACAAAGCTCTCATTAGATCAGTAATGACTTAAGCTAGTCCCGCCTGGGAATTCGCGGCAGACACTCATCTAGTGAAATTGCAGCGCCTGCAAAACAAGGTTCTCCGAACCACTGGCAATTTTTCAAGACGCACACCGGTCCGCGATTTGCACATGGCATTTAAAATCCCGTATGTATATGACTTTATAACAAAATTATGCAGGAAACAAGCAGAAGGCATACAAAATCATGAAAATGAGAATGTTCGCAACATCGGACAAAGTGAAGCCCGACACAGAAAATATAAGAGGCTTAAACTTGGCGGCGGCCGGGCATACGAACGTTCAAGTGACTAGACTGCCGTGGTAGCGAATACTACTAGAAATAGGGCAAAATCTGCAGTACTGAGCCTGGATTGACAGAGGCCTTGTATATATTGTACATAGAAATAGGAATTAAAATTAAATTGTAAATATATGTAAATACTGACAATGGACTTACTAACATAGACTATGACTGACAAATGACAGACCCGACCTCTTGTCAGAGAGGGCGCCCCAAATGAACAGGACAGTAACTTTCATATAAAGAAAAAAAATCTGGTCATGACACAAAGGCACAAAGACAGACAGACTGACTGACCGTCAGTCGCAATGTGACTTTGACTAGAGTTCATATAGACTGAGGTCCCCTGAGGCTCATGTTACATTAAATGAACTGAATATCCCCTTCGTCAATCATGTAAAATAATGGGTGTAATCTTCGATAAGAGGATTACCTGGAGACTGCACATAGAAATTATTGAAGCCGATGCCTTCAGAACATTTATTAGAAAGTACTCTCTATTCAGAAGTGAGCGTTTAAGCGCCAGAATTAAACTAACCCTCCATGAGGCACTGATCAGACCATGGAAAGACTGGTGAAGACACAGTAGACTGAAAAGCCTTAACGAGTGCTGTTGTTATTTTAAAAAAATGATCGGCGTTGGCGCTATAATTAAGTGTAGTGACGAGTCGTGTTTTAGAATAATCAACAAATAAAATCTCCAATGCAAACACTGGCAGCTGTCACTCCCGCTAGTGAAGAGACAGTTTTGCTGTCTTTGTTATTTTGAATGGCATGGCAAAATATAGGGTGTAGCGACTGGCTACGAAATGGACGACCTAGAGGTCGGAGTTCGTGTCTCGTTAATGTCAAGAATTTTCACTTCTCCGTGTCGTCTAGAACGGCTCTGGGTTCCACCCATCCTCATATACAATGTGTACTTGTAGCTCTCTCCCCGGGAGTAAAGCGGCCGGGGCTTGACTCTGGCCACTCTAACTAATGCCGAGTTTAAGGATATTGTGACGCGTTACCTTACGTCCATCGCCGCGCAACGGCTACAGTGGAAATTATCGAGTTCCAACAGCGACAATTAAAATACAAACAGACCGTTGCGAAGAGCGTTCCCGAGGCAACGGATTGCCGAACACGTGAATTTGGAATAGGCTCTTCCATGTTAACGCAAAGAACAGCTAACCGTTGCGTAGACAATGCAAAAGCAACGAACACTTGTCCCCATAAGTGAACTACAGAGGGTTCGTTGCACCCGTTACGTAACAGGGAACAGTAGTAATGAAACAGCGAGGAATGGTGTCTGACATCCAGTCCGCAGAACACTTACGTAAGCCGAGAGCTACAGAGACAGAAGACAGCAAGAAGTAAATCTTGGGATAGCCGCCGCCAGTTGAGATCCAACCACAGCCAAGGATAGTTTAGACGTCGCATTGGAGTATTGGGCCAGAAGTCACGTGATATTGCAAGAGATAATAATAGTAAGAGTGAGTGTCCAATAAAGGTTCGCTAAATCCAAGGCCCACGTAAAGTTATTTGTCGCGTGACATACCCAACACGTGACAATATACAGATCTATACATCCACACCCCCATACGCCTTCATGGCGTAGTGCTTATTTGGTTAAGCTCAGGGACAACTCTACCTTACCTTACATATAGAATAATATATCTGACAGGTCACGGACTGCATATGAACCACTTGTCTAACAAATTTCGAATCCAACGGGACATGTAGTCTGAAGAGACGGCACTCGCTAGGCTACGGCTTAGTAAACACGTAACGACGGCAACATGCAAGCAGCAAAATAGAAGTTGTTATAAAAGACACAGACACAAAGACAACAAGGGGAATTCAAATGCCTCTTTCAATTTTGCAAATGAGGAATGTAGGCAAAAATATATCAAATTGTATATCTAAATAAAGTCTGAACATCATTATGAACAGCATTGCCTGTACGGAGACCAGCCTATGATAATATCTGCAAGTTACATTTAACGCAGTGTCAGTTTTGATGGAAGTACAATATTTCTGGAGGAAAAGCAGGCTTCGCCGTCTGCCAGTAAAATTTGCAGGAATTTGTAAACACGAGTCACAGTTACATGGACTGGCGCGAGGATATCTAACATAATAAACATGGAAGCAGGCATTCCTGTCTCACCGGTCACCAATGAAAATAAAATAGAGCGGGGATATATTATCTATAGGAAATTACATACATATAGAATGTTAAACCCTTTCAATATGAAGAGCGATTGTTCGCTTCAATCATTGGTCCACGTAAATGAAATATTGTGAACAAGGACCGAGGAATCTTAATTTTCTGTTGAGCGAATGAGAATTAAAAATTTACGTCCTGTTTCACGGCTACAAAATGTTTCTCAATTACGAAACAGTCCGTTTAATAATGTTTAGGCAAATAATCGTAGCTTCTCCTGAGAATCATATAAAACCTATAATATTTCCTTTACCAAAAACGCACATTTTCTACGGGGTTAAAAGTCGTAATATAGCCATATATACAGATTGTTAAAAACAATTAAATGCTTTAAGAATGTAAAATACTCACTAAAATGAGGGAATATTCCCAGTCTAATGTGTCCACGAACCAGTGTCTACTCAGATATGGGCGTTGTTCTTCTGATCCCTACAGGCGGTTCTGCATGTAGATCCCATGCATTTCAAAACGACTTTCAGCTCTTTGGCGCACCTATTTGCGCATTGTGCCCGATGAAACCAGCTTCACTCCAATCCCCTGACAGGCATTCTGTGCTCGTTGCTGTGATAAATTGAAGTCACTGATCGTCACTGTTCGAGATTGAGTACACAGAACACTTCCTGTGTCCCCAACCAAATTACAGAAAACAGAGATTATAGAATCGTGGAAGACAATGGTCCGGACCTCAGCATTATACCACTCTTCAAGGAAAGTCTGGCTGTGTTGGTGTCTGACAATGTAGAGAAAATGAGGTGGTGTCCTATCAAGGATGGACATATCTGATTGTTGTGAAGTGGCACACGTTACAAGAGTCATTCAACAGTAATATGTCAAGAAGACAGGTCCACAGTCTGTTCCAAAACAGTTCCTCAACTTAATTCGATCTAGAGCGCTCTCCGTCAAATGAGAATATCCTCTTCTGTCCCCAAGGTACGTTACAAGAGTAACAGGTAAGTCACTCACATAACAAAGACGATGCACTGCACCTGATAGTCTGCTAGGAAAGACAAGTTGTCCTAATATTCCATCATCTAAGGCGCCCATCTGGACACTCACTAGCCCATATCTGAGAAGGCACTTATTCCTGGAAACTTGTTGTCGGGGACCTGTTTTGCTCAATTGAATGGGTACTATACCCCTTACAGATTTTAACATCAACCTCTTTAACTTCGTGTATCGTTTCATGTCCCACCACTCCTTACTTCCTTCTGTGTTCCATTCCTTCCTCTCATAAGCGCACTCAACATTAGGACGAATATTTATAGCTTGTTGTTAGGCAACACTCAGCGCGCAAATGGACTGGCGAGGTAGCAATCACATGACGTGTTTTCCATATTGTTTTCCGTATGCAATAATAGGACTGTGTTTCCGTGCGTGGTCGATGCGGAGGCTATATAACAGCAGTTAAAAATACAAGAGTCTTGTTTTAAGTGGCAGAGTTCTGAGTACTCGGTGTCAGATATCTACGGAAAGTTCGTGGTGTGAAGATCTGGCGTGATTAGAGGACTTCATTCATGTATAATATGTGGTGTGCTATTCAATGAGAATGTTGTGAAACCTGTATTTTAGTTGTGGTCCCAGGAGAGGATTTGGTGTGTGTGTGTGTAACAGCGATAGCGCTGTGATTACGTGTATTTACTGGTGTGCGTATAAGGAGTAAATAAACCCCGCGTTATTAGTCACTAATACACGTGACAATATTTTTATTAGCTTATTACGTACATAAATTCGTCCATTCATTAGGCGTATTTTATTTACTTGCCTTCCTTTGTGTCAGACATCACCCAATTCGACCTACCCCGACTTCAGCCGTAACAGCTTCCACCTTGCCCCGCTGAAGAAGGGATGGGGGAAGCCATGATGGCTCTGAAAAATACTTAATCGAGTTACATTCAAGTTACCTAAAGGAAGGGCCGCGCCAGAACTCAATAGGTTAGACACTGGCTTCCCAACGCGGCTGCCCATGTTCGAAAACGGTTCTGGTCAAGTGGGATTTGTGGTGGACAAAGTAGCAGTGCGACAGGTTTTCTCAGATTACTTCGGTTTCCCCTGCCAATCTTCATTCCACCAATTGCTCCACAATCACCCTCAACTATCATCTGGGGCTGGTACAATAGGCCAGAAGTGGCCGCAGTACAAGGGACTTGGTCCCACCCCACTAGCAATAACAAAAATATCTACAAAAACGAATAAGGTTTTTCGTGTAAACTGCGGTTTACATTTTCTCAATTGCACCCTAACTCTTAATTCGTAAATAAGCTTCATTATGAAATTCAAATGTCCGATGACATGAAATCCTGCACACGGGCTTTCGAGGTGTCCTATAAGGCCAGACGGACACACATAAAACTGGAATATTCATTGCAAGAGTTCAGGCACTTACCGTATTTACGCATGTATAGGCCGCACATTTTTTGCCAAAAATTCAAGAGGAAAACTGGGGTGCGGCTTATATTCGAAATATTCGAAATCACACTTAATTTAAAAAGAATTATATTCATAATTAGTAATACAGAGTGTTCTACTCCTGAAATAATATTCCAAGAAAATTATTTTTTCTATAATTTCTGTCTGAAAATTGTGCTGCGGCCTATACACGCACGCGGCCTATACATGCGTAAATACGGTATTTTGCAATCTTAAGTATATCAAGACTTTCGTAAAACAGTTGAAATGGATTATAGCTGCTGAGGGTTATAACTTCGAACATCAGTAGCAGAACTTTTTAGAATAAAATTAACAACCAATCGTGAAATTAGAAAAAGGAGGCATAGAAGACGGAGTTTTGTTATTTTTCGTTTGTGACCTTAAGTGACCTTGTGCAAAAGTGTATGTCATTGAATTCATATCCGTGTTCTCTACATATCAGTGGAATTTATAAAACCAAAAGTGACTTTTTTATTTCCATAACACCCCCGAGTACATAACGCTTACCTGTCTTGTCTAACTTGCTCCATGTTACGGTGCAGGTATTGTCGGAAATTTTTGTAACATGGAAAATAAAGTAGATTCTCATATGGCGGAATTTGTTTCCTCATTCCGTAAAAGAAATGTAAAAAATCATAAATCATTTCAAAAGTAATTTTTTGTTCTGTTGAATACTTCTGAACAGATGAAACAGAACAGCTTTACAGTTGACAGCAGATTCCTTATTCACAGAAACCTGTACACCTGTAGATGGCCGGTTGGCCGAAACATGTAGTGACAGTAAAGTAAAACGACGGTTGAATAGTAAGCGAAATTGCCCATAGACGACATACAAGTGAAACGCAAATTCAGATCTGTACACTGCACAAGGATGCTGCGATATAATATTAGGACTCACGTAGACTTGCTAAAATTTGGAGTCGTGAGAAATTTTCATTACTAACCCCAACGAGGCTGAACCATTATCCCAGAGAGCTGCACCTAGCTGCAAGGCGTCGTGGAGAGCCGAAGGAACTGACCCGTGGCGATTGCGAATCTCGGAGTAAATTGTCCAGCTATCCGGAATGAGTATGAGTCGCATTGCAAAAGTGGCACGACGCAGGGAACGGGTGTTTCATGGACAATGAAAAGACGATATTGCACCGAGAACCCGGAAAGGACGAACAGAGGAAAATAGACACTGTAAAGGACAAGAATGCAAAAATGGCATAACGGACGGAGGCTTAAGACAGCAACTACGGCTACTTTGTCTAAGGAAGAAGAAGGGAACCACGAGCGGACAGCGATCGCATCTGGAAAGCGAACGGAAGATCAGGGAAAACCTATATTAGATTTTCAGAGAGAAGATCACGAAACAAGTAGTCGGAATTTCCAGGGGGTTAGGAAGAATTATGGATTGAACTTTGTGTGTGGTCGACTCCTTCCGAAGCGGAAAAATGCAGATGACCTTGTATTAATGGCTTAGGAAGAAACTCTGCTACAGGGTATGATTGATAGACTAATCGATAATGGAAGGTACTATGGCATGGAAATGAATGTGGAAAAAACAAAAGTAATGAAAATTTCGAGACAACCACCCCCAGTCACAATAAAGATAGACCAAAAGCAACTGGAGAATGTGAAATATTTTAAATATTTGAGTAGATTGTTAACAGATGATGGAAGGTGTACGTGTGAAATTAAATCTAGGATTGACATGGCAAAAGCTGCATTTAGCAAGAAGAAGAATCTTTTTACCAGCAAATTGGACTTAAATTAGATAAAGAAACTAGTGAAATGCTACATTTGGAGCATTACTTTGTATGGGGCTGAAATTTGGACACTT